CAAATCTTGTTTTTTCATAGGATTACAAAAGAAACACAGGAAGACTGAAGAAAAGATCAAGAACTGCAGAAAGTTATGTTCTTTTGACACAAAGTTTAGCTTGCTGATTTCGAGTGCTTCACAAGCCAATCAATGACTTGATCAATGTTGGTGGAGTTCTTGCAAGATATCATGAAGCAGCAGACCTCTCTGTCGGTAAGTGACTTGAGTCCCCTGTGCAAAAAAATGGAGAAAACATTATGAGAATTGAAGTAAAAAAGCCAATCTTTTGTGGTGTTTTCAGTTGAAGGCTTCGGTTAAAGGCTTACATTTCCTCGGTTAAGGCTTCTTTGGACAAAGCTCCAGGCTTGTCGATTTTGTTTCCAAGGACTAGAAGAGGGATACCACTAAGCGACGTCTTGCTCAATAAATCATGTAGTTCGCTTTTCGACACACTAAGGTTGTCAGGATCAGCAGCATCAACTACATACCTGGAATCAGAATCAGCAGTTTTAATCATCTGGTAACATAGAGCTGACCAATTAAAGATAGTAAGAAAACAAAATCATTAGATTCTTACACAATCGCTGAAACAGAACGGCAGTAGCGTTCCCACATGCTGCGGAACCTAGGTTGACCACCAAGATCCCAAAGTTTGATTGTGACACTTCCTTTTGTCACTTTCCTCATGTTGAAACCAACCTGAAAAAGAGTAAAAATCCTTTCTAAGATTAATCCAAAAGCAAGCAAATCTATTGTTACTTGAAGTAAGCATCATAATGAGTAATGTAACTCACCGTAGGGATCATGTCTTCACTGTATCCACCGGTCTGAACAAGGAAAGATAAGAGGAAGGCGTCATCAACGAGTGTTCAAGAGAAATATAGAAGGAAACGGTTTACGGGAAAAACATACTACTTACTGCAACAACGTTTACAAGTGATGTCTTTCCTGCATTCTGAAGACCTATCAATGAAAGCTCCATTTCTTGCTTGAAGAAAAGGCTGCAAAAAAAGACAGCTTTACAGGTGAGTCTATGCATATTGGGAAAATTCGAAGTAATTGTTCGATGCGTCTAAGAAAACAAGAGAAGATAGTTAGAGGAGGTTACAATCAAATAGCTCTTCCTCTCACAGCTAGATAGATACATAGGATTCTTTCTAACATCTCATTACTCACAACTCTATTCACTTTAAAATTATACTCTCGATGTTTCTTTTCGTGTAGCAATCTTCATCTTACTAACCATCTAAGATCCAAGATTGGATTTTCTTGTCAAAAACCAAAGTTTGTTGCTTTCTTAGGACAAAGATTGATGTGATTGTATTGCAAGGTTGCAGAATTTCTCATCCGATACTCTCAAAGAAACCCATCAAATATGCATCAATAATGAATTCCGCTAAAAAAACCCTAATTTCAATTTCGTCGTAAATTCACAAATCACAATTAAATTTCGATTTTTTTTTCCTGTCATTG